TGGTTTATTCAAACTTTGATATGCGCAGATCAAGCGGTCATATTTCCAACTGAAAAATTTCTCATTTTCATTGATTACAACCTCAGATTTCAAGCGAATTTTTATCGATATAACATAACACATCGACAGTTATATTCAACAGTTGTTTGTTTATATGCAGATGTTTCATTTAACCATCAACGAATGTGAAAACATTTTGAATGCGTCAATTCAGGGATGCATTCGAGAATAATTTGGGTGTCGGCATATTGCGCAACGGTAACGATGGCTTTGATTTGAGCGAGAAGCTGCTCGAGTTGAACGTTCGTGATATAACGGCGCTGAGGAATAACGACGGATCTACAGATGAAGTAGTGTTCAATAATGGATCATCATCGTTACATGGAAGGTAGCTGAAAAAGTAGTGATTTTTGTGATTTTTTAAGTTACTGGAAATTTTTAGTTATGGGATTCCCTCATGAACAGATTGAAAGCAACTAATTCGCACATAAATACGTAGAGATTACTTGTTGCGGTATGAAATGCCATTCTGATCAATTGCTATTCGAAGCAATGGTTTGATAAACTTTGCTTAAAACTACTGGTAGGTGGAGGGCTTTTTTGTCTCAGATTGCAAGAATCTTATGTACCAAGATTCACGAATATAGATGCATGATTTCCGTATATCTTTGATTTGATGCTAGTCAATATCTGTAAATCAACGTTATGTACTGCAAGACATTTTCTGCTTCAAATAATCTTCTGTCCAAATTTGCGTAATTAAACTCATATTTTGACTCATATTCCAGAATCAAATTTATTCGGTATTTTAGGGACAATAAAAGTTTTGTGTGCTTGGCGAGAATCAGTAATGGTCTGGTGGTTTCATCACAGAATGGATCATTCAGTTCGGCAAGAAGTGCGCGACTTCGACGAGACACTAACGATTTTACGGATGTTGATAGTGGATACCATGTCGATTTGGTGAAAACGAGTACGGAATAATTTATCGTCTGGAATGAAAATTTCGTGTATTCAGATCGTTTTTTAACGGTTCAATGCAATAGGATGCATAATTTTAGCGGAATATGAGAAATGCTGTGAGCATTGGTGATAATGTGATTGCATTGGTTCCGTGTGATAATTCCGAATGCGCTTTTATTGTTCTGGTCACTGGCTTTGGGTACAGTGCAAAGAATGACATCTAAAAGATGAAGAACTCTGATCAAAAATTTGAATAGAGATTGAAATTTTTGGTAAATTATCCTATTCCGGATTCTTCTTCATGATACAGTCGCCATGTGTTTGGTATCACCGAAAACTTTTGATGGCTTCTTTAAGATACACTCTATCGGAGAACATCGAAGTTCTTTTCGGATAAGATCGTCTTCGATAGTGAGCGTCGAAGTGAGGAAGATTTGAGACGAACACTTTCCAGGAGACGTGAATTCGGGTGAGTTCACGTGTAATTACTCGCGCAGCCGTTGTTTTCTACTTCGAATTTTTCAAGTTTCATTCAGTTTAGAAATGTTTTGGTCTATCCAGCGAAAAAAATTGTAAATTCTATGGAGATTATATGCAACTAATCTATAAGAGAACTTCTGCGAATCTATTAAACGATGCATTATGAGATCATTGCAAAAACTTGTTCTCAAGAATCATTCAGTCAACTTTTTTGGTATGTTCATAATCGGTATGCCCGTTCCAGAACTACGAGTAT